CTGGTCAATGATGACAGCTGTTTGGATGACTTCACCGCCCATCCACCGTGATTGTGGCGCATCTGGTGAATGTTGAAGATTTCACGATCGAGCTCGGTGAGCTCGTCGCCGGTCAGACATCCAAGAAAGCACCGGAGGAAGTCGAACTTCCACGTGAGGTGCCGCTGCAACACATGGGTCCCAGGGTGAGTTTCCTCGTACAGCAGGACGTGTGACAGAAAGGCCAACTGTCCTTCCAGAATGTTCACCGCGGCCATCTCCCCCTGAGGGAAGTACGCCGTGGTGTCCTGCTGACGGAAAAACCGTGGAACACCTTCTGGGATGATCCTGAGGGAGGCCACCGGAGCACTCGCAGGATAGGCTCGACGATCCCTTGTAGGATAGCTGGCATTACCGTCGCCATCTCCAACTGTTCGGAGTACACGACGGTTTGCCCAGGACGCGCTCTGTTGGTACAAGGACAGGTCGGGGACACCAGTGCGGACGTCAATCTTGAAGTTGCATCCCGTTGTCGGTGTCCAGTAGACCTGGAATGGTGCCTCCTCATGAGAGGAGCGTCCAGTGTCCATCGAGGGTCCTGCCGCAGCCATGCTGGTAACAGAAGAAGAGGAAGTTGTGGGCTACTTTCTCACTTGAGTTTTGAACCAGCTGATTTGAGCAATGCAGGCACAAATTTAAAAAGAGACCAACAACTCTTCATGAAGCACATGCATTGAATTGCTCCGACAGCTCACACATGAAGCAGACATGACTCACAAACGCTCCTGCATGAACATGACATGTTGCACTGCACTCAAAACCGCGTACTCCTTACGGAGCCAGGCGTTCAAGAAGGCCTTGTGCTCAATCATGGAACGAAAAGGAGGATGTGAATCAATTTCCTTCAACCACCCAGTTTGAACAGAACTCAGGAGGTTTCTAGGATTAGCGCTTCGTTTCGTGAGACAGTCAGAAAGACAGTGTTCGGTTCGAACGTGAGAAAGATCAGCAATAGCACCTGAACACGCTTCCTTTCTCAGCATTTGAATCATGTGAATGGTTTCCTGTTGTTCGGGTGAGTGAGTAGTAGAAGCGGTAGACACGAGATTGTTAGCATCGGTGCGAATGTGAATCTCGGCATCCAGACCACTAATGTCCTTCCACAAACCACGAAGCATTTGACAGGTACCAAAACACTTCATCAAGGCGTAAAGCTCAGCGACAGTGGTACTGAGGGTCGTTCTCTTAATCTTGGTTGATTCGAAGAAGACCAATGAGCCTCGGGTGTCTCTTCGATTCTTGACCCTTTCATCTGCGATGAAGATAGTCATCGCCCTCTGTGAGGACTTGTCGCTGTTGTTACGGAAAGCTGCGTCAGGAATTCCAAGAATCCTCGGTGATCCCTTCACTGGCCACACCCGCAACTCAACTTCCTCACTGCGTATCTGTCGACACAACTTGTTCAACTCCTTGCAGTGACCAATAGTCGGAGCAGCGGATGCTGATGCCAGACGAGAGAACTGGTAACATGCCTGAAATTGCGTCCTCGACTGAAGCCAGTTGATGCTACCAAGCAAAGAGCGATAGGAAGTGTGAAGAGATTTATCACACGCATCTGCATCCTTAAGATGCTTTGGTATGACAATCTCCTCAAGCTCTGAAACACACAGCTTTTGATCGATCGAGATATACTTCTTCTTCCCTTGTGCATCAAGAACCCAACGAACACGCTGTCCCGTGAACGTAAGGTCATTCTTGTCCTCATGGCCGACAGTGAAGTGTTCCTTGATCTTCTTTAGGAACCAAGTGAGGAACTCAGGGGTTCCACTTATGATGAGATCATCAACATGAAGACTCATCACTCCAACTGTCCTGCGACCTTTGCTGGGACTTCCATGCACAGGGTCAACAAAGTGTTCAAGAAGCTGATCAACCAACTCGGGGGAGAGCTCTGATAAGCTCTCGACCTTGTATGAAGCCTTCTCTGGAAGGAACAAGGAGACTAGGACCTCAGCTTCTTCTTCAAGGAAGCAGGTCTTATCGCCCTTGTCCAACCTCAGGTCATGGGCCCTTTCGACAATCCACCATGTTCCTTTACGGAGGATCATGGAAACTCGATAAGGGTAGTCCTTGACCTGATAGACAGGTGCAGGAGTACGGAGAGCCTTGGCCCTGTGAGAAACGAGAGCATGCCCGTTCTCATAAGGGAACCAACCTCTTTTCTTACAAGCAACACTGCCCAAGAATCCGAGAAGCTTATCATCAGTCACAGGCCTCCAAGCATAGTCAACCATCTTCTTGGTATCGGTGTTAAAGCACTGAGCGATATCGGGACATGAAAGATAGGATCTCTCCTCCGCACGGTCGGAGGAAGAACGGTTTCCTTCATCGTATGCGTAGCATGTCATGGCATGAAGGGCAACCTCCTTGAGGTAGGCAGGTTCCACCTCAAGAGAGGTGCTTCCTGCTTCAGGTTCCTCCTCCTGAGAGGAGCTTCCTGCCGCAAGGTGGCTCTTGCCCTTCTTGCCTTCTATGCCGTCGTATGCGACATAAGTGCATCGGTCAGCTCTGGTCGGTTCCATGCCTACAGACCTGAGGAATTTGTCCAAACGATTCCACCATCTTCTCGGTGCATCGTTCAGACCATAGACTGGTCTGAGACAAAGGCCAACCATCCAGGTAGGCAAACCGATGTCAGGAGGCAACTGAACCACAACCATGCGAGATGACAGATTGTAGTGTTCCCCCTGAAGGAAAGCGGTCTTAAGATCCAAATGAAAAAGATCCCAATAGTGATTGGCAGCGCACTGCGCAACCAAACGGAAACCATACCGAGTAGCCGTAGGGCTGTCCGTTTGTTGATCCCAGGCAAACTTGTCCTGAAACCCACGACAAACCCATCGGGCTTTGAACTTGGAAAAGTAACCGTTCTTGTCAACCTTCACAGTAAGGACCCAACGTCCGGTAAGAAAATTGACATCGTTTTTAAGCTTGCGACGGTCCGTCAGCCGAATTGCATCATTGTCCAAGTAACTCTTGAACTCCTCAAGTTTAGCCTTCCGAATTTCGGCGGCATACTTGCGCTGCATCTCCGGCGTGAGGGTACCTGCCTTGATTTTATCTTGTTTAGTCAACCACGACGCAAAACCATCACCATCCAACGGAACAAAGGACGGAACCTTGAAGTCCGACGGAAGGCGAATCAAAACGTCGTCGTCTCCAACAGCCAAAGCAAGCAAGCTTTCATCACGATAGTCAACCGTGGCATCCGAATCAGTATCCTCACCAGCTTCCGGCACCGGCGGTTCCGGGGTGGGTTCCGGGAGTGGGGTTTGCTGGATAGGAAATTCCCCCTCAGTCACCGGCAAACCAGGAACAGGAGCCGGATCAGAAGAAGAGGAAGCAGGCTCGTGAAAACCTGGAAAGTCACCCGACGGATCGGGATCCTTCTTTCCCGCAGACTGCCCAGGCAACAACACAACCGGAGGTCCCACAACAGTACGTGACTTGGCCTTAGACACATCTTCAGGATGTGTGCCTCTGGCACGTGTCTGAGACACATTGCGAGGCGACGGCGGTCGCATACTCTGTGGCACCGGAAAGTGAGGATGCGGCGGAATTGGAACAGGAACAATAGGTGAAGGTGGTGCCGGCCACGGCATCGGTGGACTAAGAACCTGATCCGGGTTCGCAAACTGAGGCGGAGCCCCAGGAGAATCGGGAGGACCTCCAGGAGGAGGCGACTCCTCGTGAAACTCCATCGGAAGAGGAGGCTCTTCCGGTGACGGACCATAACCAGGTCCCGGTCCCTGAGGACCGCCTCCTGGCGGATGTCCATCACCGTCCGGATCGTGATCCAGGTCGGAATCATCATCTCCCCCGGGTACCGGTACATGAGTACCGCCTCCAGGAGGTTGTGAAGGAGGGTCACCACCGACATGCAACTCAACAGGATTATCATCTAAATCCTGCTCTGGATGCTGTAGTGGCATTTCCTCATCGTCCACAGGCATATCACCGTGTGGATCATCATATCCTGGATAGTCCACATCGTCGTCTGTGGCTGGCGGTTGCGGTGCAACCGGGGCCGGCGCTGGCTGGTCCGTGAAGTCCAAGCCAACATCAGGCCCGCGTCTGGAATTGTTGTTCTGTGACTCATTCCAGAACACTATCATGGACCAGTGCGTTGATTGCATATCCTTAAGGCAAGGAAGCAACTGTGCCATCGTCACGAAAAACACATGATTCATATCACCCTTCTGCCACAAAATGACAACAGCATCAGGATGACGATGAACCAAAGGGAGTGTTTTCCCTTGAGTCCCCCTGTAGACGTTACAGTACTCAAACTCCAGATACGGCAGAGTTAGCACGCGCACATTCTTAATCATTGGCCGCAAGGCGACCGCGTCAGACGATGTGGTCGTGTGAACTTCCAACTCAGTACCTGGAAGGAGACTGTCAACATATGACAGAGTCTGGCACCTGGATGTGTAACATTCAGTGTTTCACCCCCCCCAATGGTTCCTACTCCCCCTCCTGTGGTGTGGTGTGGTTGTAGGTTGCTTCACCCTCCCTGTGGTGTGGTGTGGTGTGGTTCGGGAGTGGGTCTGCTTAGGCTGGTTACCCCACTCCCCCCTGTGGTGTGGTTGGTGTGGTGTGGTTTGGGTTTCCTGCGTGGGTCTGCTGTGGTGTGGTGTGGTTGTGGGTTGCTTCCCCCTCCCTGTGGTGTGGTGTGGTTCGGTGGGTCTGCTTAGGCTGCGGCTGGTTACCCGACTCCCCCCTGTGGTGTGGTGCGGTTTGGGTTTCCTGCGTGGGCCTCGTGTGGACACACAGATTCGGCTTGGGGAGCGTGGGGGGGGGGGGGGGATACTATTGGGGGGGGGGGGGGTCGGTGAACCGAGAACCGGGATCATATATATATATATATATATATGTATATATATATATATATATATATGTTAGTAGATATGGCTTTTCTCTTCTGCAACTGACTGTTGTTAATTGGTTACCATCGTCAGCTGGCGGAGCTGGAAGAGCTGCGAGCGAAAGCAGCCGAGCTCGAGAAGTTGAAGGCCAGGCCCGAGCCATCTCTGAGCCTCTCGACTCACTCTACTTAGCTCTACTTCTCTTGAGCATGCTGCTGACAGGCGAAGTTGAAGAAGCGCGACGCACAGATCGCTGCTCTACAAGAGGCTCTGTCGGAGTCGCTTTGTCTTTGCCTGCGCCGTCTGGCTCGGAGGAGAACGACAAACTGAACGAGGAGCAGATGCGGCTGCTGAAGATGCTGAAGCAGGTGCCGGGGCCGGGGCGCCGTTTTGTGACTGGGAATCTGGAGACTTGGAGGTCCGCGAACAGCTGCGGATCGTCATGGAGCTGGCGGAGAAGAAGGGTCTCGGCGCGGAGCTGAGACGCGGAGAGGAGAGGGGATCGGGGCTAAAGCTGGAGTGCTGGAGTCAAGGGGACGTGATCAAGAAGCTCTTCGAGGAAGCCGGTGCCAGCAGCCCAGCTTGCTTTTGGGCAGGGCCCCACATCTCCCCGACTGCACAGCAGCGCAGCTCCCCCTGGCCAAGTTGGGCACCACCATGTCTGATCCGGACTACACGTGCTTCGATCGACTCTACGACGATGCCCTCAGGCCGGACAGACCGGAGTCCGGCTGTCCGCCGGCTGTGGTCTTTTTAAATCCCGCTCAGGCGGATGGACAAGCAGCGCCGTCTCGAGTGGTACCGCCTCGGGAACACCGGTGAGCCTCCGCCATCCTTCAAGGCGCATCGGCACATCTGGTACTTTCGAGGCTCTTGGCAGACAGGGGAGCGGGAGTTCGGGCGCCGTGGCTCAAGCAGCAGAGGCTTGCATTGGGCAGACGCCCCCCCCCCCTCTCACACAGACACAGACACGCACAATACACATTCGCCGGAGGCGGCCGCCATGGAATGACGCAAACGGCCGGCTGCCAGGCTGTGGCCGCGCAGCCTCAGCCGCCTGAGACTCCTGGACCCCCGGAACCGAAGCGGCTCCGGAAAGTTGCGGCTTTGACAGCAGCCCTCCCCTCAGTGGCAGCGGCTGCAGCCGTGGCCTAAGAGCACGGCCCTTGCCAGTATGTTCACACTTGGAAGGCTGCGCCATTTCTGCATCCAGGGCTCTGCCGCCTGGTGCTTGACTTCCAGTGTGCGCAGAGCACATATGCCGACTACCGCATGTTGGCTTTGTTTCGAGGGCCGACCTTATCACACGCTGCCCCAGATGGCGGACAGGGTCTTCTCCAGCAAGCCACAACCGAGCCCGTATCGTTCATCCCGACCTGTGTTCAAGTATGCTGTCACAGGCAGCACACGACCCGAGTAGTACTGCAATGTCCCGGGTTGGGCCCCGGCCGTGACCGCCAGAGCCGAAAGCATCTCGGCAGTGCCGTGACCGAGGCAAAGCCTGCTTCGACCAGAGGCGTGGCCAGGGCGTCTTTGCCAGCAAGCGGGAAGCCCGGGAAGCCCAAGAGAAGCGTCAGAGTAGGTGCGCGGCCGCCAGTAGCGGCGAGTGCCTTTAAGTGCCTTTCAAGGCCCCTTCTGGCCGGAGAGCTGCTGCTGGCGTCCGGGTCCCGTCGTCCCGGACGGCGGGTCCCGTCCGGGTCTCGGTCGGAGCGCTTCGACTTGCAACAGCTTCAGGTGTCCGCCTTTGGCAGCTGTGAAAGGAGCATCTCGTAGGTTGCGTTCTGCCACTTTCTGTGCCTCTCTGGAAGGAGTACCAGAAGAGCAGCTTGCAATTGCGCTCGCAGAACTGGTTTTGGAGCGCCTTGACGGAGGTGCCCCTTGCGTGCGGCGTGGTTTCAGTGGCTTTCGGTTCAGGCCATGGCTTCTCTGGCAGGAGATCCGGGATTCATCGAGAAGTTCTGGAGCCTCTCGGATGGCCCGCTGCTTCAGGCCGCCCACGTCTCGAAAGGTTGCATCGTCTGCCGAAGCCCTGAGGGCGAGGAGGCCAAGAACATCCTTTCCAGGAGTTGAGCTCTCCGGGATGCAAGGGGAAGGCCGGTTCGCGGAGAGGAGAGTGAAATTGACCTCTTTCAGGGACAATGAATTAGGGCACCGTGTTGACCTGCTCATCGACTTTGGCATAACTAGTAGTGCCGCTGTATAGTTATAGTTCAGTAGATCTGCTAGTTGAGTTGCAGACCTGTACGCACGCCATACTGCCATTGCCGCATTAGGCTCAAGATCAAAAAGTGCGCTAATTGTGAAGACTGCGGATCGGGGGCTTTGGTGTTTTTGTAGCGAGAGTAGTGTATGTCTTCCTTCGCAATGTCGGTAGGCGGCCTGAAGTATCAGGCAAGTTGGTGGAACCAGAATTCCGCCCCCGCTGAGACGAAGTCAGGTTCGTACGTATGTGCTGGCATGGCACCGCCCAACATGTTCACCATTGGGAATTCAGAACACAAAGACGAGTAGAAAGAAAAAGTGCTGAAGGACATGCCTGCAGATGCCTTCTCGAAATCGCAGTGTTCATCGGCCAACTTACACCTCCCACCCCCACCCCCACTCGGAGATTTTAAAAGAACGCTCAAGTTTCTGGGGTGTGAAGTTGGCGCATGTTTTCGCATAGTCTTTAGGCACGTGTGATCAGTTGCCTTGCCCGCTGCTTTTCTCTCGAGTGGGCCCACTGAGCCCTTTGACCTTTCGCCTCACAGCAAAATGGGCGAGCGCTTTGAGCTGTGATCCGCACTCGCTAAGTTGGTACCGGAGCCTGCCTTTTCCGGTTGGCTGCTCCAAATGCAGCGCCGATGCCGAAGATCGTGCCCGAGATGTTCAATATGTGGGATGATCTTTTACGGGACATGGCTGTGCCGTGGATGTGTACAGAATCTTACTCGTGCAAGCGACCCCTTCGCCATCAGACAGACGAAGGTGTTTGGATGTTCATGCCAAGGCGTTCCCCGGGAACCGGCCGGAGCGGACCTCGAGCAGATTATCCCGGCGGGCATCTTCCGCCGACGGCCCTCTCGAGACGACAGCGCCGGCGGCACCGGATGCAGCTGAAGACCTCGCCGAGGACCGGACTACCTCGAGCCTTGCTTCACCACCACTCCGCGGCGTGCCCGACTTTGCCTGCCACACGACGTTGCCACGCTGATAGACCTTGGCAGCCAGATGTGCCCCCGTGTGACCTTGGACCACCAGCTCCCACACAGGGGGCCGGGACAAGTTCATGGAAGAGCCGCTTGGGGCCCGCGTGGCGATATGATCCTTAGGACCCCAGAGCCTTAAGAAGGTGGCCTTGTGGCGATCCAGGTGCAAGCTACTGATGCCACGCGAGGCCTCACTCATGCTCTACAACAGCTTGAGCGGGGAGGCGGAGACGGAGCTTGAGCATGCGCCCATAGAGTCGATAAACACCGATAAGGGTATATAGACTGGGGGCAACAGATTGCTGTGTAGCGCACGCGTGCGAGTAGGAACAAGTGCTAGCGGTCGAACCGCAGCTTGCTGGTTCGATCGCCTTTTCTGAGTTCCTCCCGTCCCTTCGCCTCTCATCGTTCTGGTCATGTCGACTGGTTCCGCCCCCGCCGTCGCCGATGCTGCCGCCCAGGCGGCCGCCGAGGCCCAAGCTGCGGCCGGCTTCGCCGCGGCAGCGGGCTTGGACTGGGCGCTGCCTGGTCCTATTTCGACCTCGGCGCCAACGGCATCCGCGATGGGGGCTGAGGCTGTGGACGACGCCCCTTCGGGCGAGGAGGAAGAGGTGATCACCGGCTATGCTTCGCCCACGCCGGGCGTCCCCCCCGCCGGGGGCATTGCACATGTGGCGACACAGACAGAGGCCCATGTGTTCATCACGAATTTTGCGGCAGGGGCGTCCGACGGCGAGCTCGCCGCAGCTGTGGGCGCCCTGTCCGCTGTTGATTTGGCTCGCCTGATGGCGGCGTGCACTGCCGCCCAGCCCCTGGCTGGGCCATCGACGCCGGCTATATCGTCACCTTTTTCGGCGTCCGGGACTTTGCCTCCGACGGGCACAACCTTGTCGACTACGCCGACACCCTGTCCGCCCCCTTCGGCGTCTACGACAGTCCAATCGGGCGACCTGCCTGTCGAGGCCTGGCTCGGCGAGTCGTCGGCCAAGCCAGTGGGCGCCAAGCCGCAGATGAAGCCGCCACCTCCGGAGCTGGCTGACCAGGGGGCGGCTCCTATAAGGCAAAGCCCTTCGCCAAGGCGCCTCTTTGTGGCGGAGCCCGCCACGGGGTCTGACGACCCGACGCCTAGCCGTCCGGGCTGTTTCGACGTCACCTACGACGAGATGCTCCAGCTGCGGATCCAGCGCGAGCTGCGGGAGATGGCCACGCCCCCGCCCCCGGCGAAAGCGGCCGTTCAAAGGGCGCCGGAGGTGATCGTCCCTCAGCAAGGGGCGGATCCGGAACGCGACCATCCGCCATGCGCCTCTGCGGGTGTCCCGCCTCAGGCTGCGTCCTCCTCGTCTACGCCGACTATGGTCTCCTCGTCCTTCCCGGCCCGGGCAGCAGCATCGTCGGGGGCGTCTTCGGCCTGTGCGGGCGTGCCGCCCAGTGGCCGTGGCGGCTATGGGACCAAGAACAGGTCCCTTCATCGCCAAGCCCGTCACTCGTAAAGACAGGTGGAAACCGCTACAGGCAGCTGAAGCACCCTGGGGCGGACTTTTTCGACTCCGACCGGCGGCCGCCGACACCTGAAATCGGGCGGAGGCCCTTGAGCGCAATGTGGCGGAGGGCAGCTACGTCCTCCCGCCGAATTCGACCGTCGCGGGCATCTTCCTTCGCAGCCTCTGGGACGGCGTCCAGGGCGGCAAGCTGCCCAGGGAGCCGGCCCAAGACGGCACCCATTACATCGGCTGGTGCTTCGCCAAGTGCCCCGGCCCTTGGTTCAGACCGGTGTCGGCGGCTCGGTGCCCGTACGCCGGGCGGTGCTTCCGCCCTATCAGTTACCCGCCTCTGTCACCGGGCGGCCTCACTCGCACCACAACTGCGCACGGTGCGCCCCGGATACACCGGGCGAGCGGGATCGCTGATTTCGTCATGGTGGGGCCCCTTTGCGGGCGCGGCTACTTCGACCTCGCCTGCCTCTATACATCCCTGCCGTGGCGCCCGTCTCACTCCTCGGGGCGACCGCCCATTTTGCACCTCTCACCGCCTTTGCGGGCGTGCCAAACAGTGTGAGGGTCTCTTGCGTCAGCCTCTCCCCCCCCCCGTGTGCGGCTTAAATGGGGTATTATCGCCAGCTGAAACTGTGGGTTTTCACGCCTATAGTATTTAATATAGACAGGCAGATGGCGATTATATCCTGGGTCTGTTCGGTGGATGGTCCCGGGCCCGAATTAAATAATTTAAATAATTTAAATAATTTAAATCCTGGGGAGGGGGTCTGGGGGGGGTTCCGGGGCCCCGGGACCCTCCCCCAGGAATTATTTAAATTATTTAAATTATTTAATTGGGGCCGGGAATTAAATAATTTAAATAATTTAAATAATTTAAACAATTTAAATAATTTAAATAATTTAAATCCTGGGGAGGGGGTCTGGGGGGGGTTCCGGGGCCCCGGGACCCTCCCCCAGGATTTAAATTATTTAAATTATTTAAATTATTTAAATTATTTAATTGGGGCCGGGGATTAAATAATTTAAATAATTTAAATAATTTAAATCCTGGGGAGGGGGTCTGGGGGGGGTTCCGGGGCCCCGGGACCCTCCCCCAGGATTTAAATTATTTAAAGTATTTAATCTATTTAATTGGGGCCGGGAATTAAATAATTTAAAATTAACTTATTTAATTGGGGCCGGGAATTAAATAATTTAAATAATTTAAATAATTTAAATCCTGGGGAGGGGGTCTGGGGGGGGTTCCGGGGCCCCGGGACCCTCCCCCAGGATTTAAATTATTTAAATTATTTAAATTATTTAATTGGGGCCGGGAATTGAATAATTTAAATAATTTAAATAATTTAAACAATTTAAATAATTTAAATAATTTAAATCCTGGGGAGGGGGTCTGGGGGGGGTTCCGGGGCCCCGGGACCCTCCCCCAGGATTTAAATTATTTAAATTATTTAAACTATTTAAATTATTTAATTGGGGCCGGGGATTTAAATAATTTAAATCCTGGGGAGGGGGTCTGGGGGGGGTTCCGGGGCCCCGGGACCCTCCCCCAGGATTTAAATTATTTAAATTATTTAAATTATTTAATTGGGGCCGGGAATTAAATAATTTAAATAATTTAAATCCGGGGGCCTCCCCCATATTTAAATTATTTAAATTATTTAATTGGGGCCGGGAATTAAATATTTAAATAATTTAAATAATTTAAATAATTTAAATCCTGGGGAGGGGGTCTGGGGGGGGTTCCGGGGCCCCGGGACCCTCCCCCAGGATTTAAATTATTTAAATTATTTAAATTATTTAAATTATTTAAATTATTTAATTGGGGCCGGGAATTAAATAATTTAAATAATTTAAATAATTTAAATATTTTAAATCCTGGGGGAGGGGGTGTGGGCGGGGTCCGGGGCAGGGAGTTAAATAATTTAAATATGGGGGAACCCCCTGGATTTAAATTAATTAATTCCGGGGGTCCCGGCCCTTTTCCAGGATTTAAATTATTTAAATTACTTAAATGGGGCCGGGAAGTAAAACCCCACCTACCCTCCCTCACCCATCCCTGCCACCCACCGACCCTCAGCGCCCACCCAGCGTCCCAACCCCCACCCCCCCTTTCTCCCACTTCACACTCCCTCCACCTGCTGCCCACCCTACCTCCCAAACACCCTCCCACCACCCTCTCACCCACCACTTCAAGGGCTAGGGATCCCACACATCTGCGGGCAAAATCTGGCGGAAGTGATCCGCCACCGAGCAAAAAGCCTGTAAACCAACAGATGTGCGAAATCCGTGGCCCTTTGTTTAATGCGGTATTTACAGGCTTTTTGCTCGGTGGCGGATCACTTCCGCCAGATTTTGCCCGCAGATGTGTGGGGTCCCTGGCCGTTGTTTTAACGCGGTATTTACAGGCTTTCT